AAACACCCCCGCCCCCACCCCCTGCCCCAACTCATCCAGTGGCTTGGCCTCACTCACTTCTCCGCTTGCTGTTGAGCAGCTGCCTCCCGAGCAAGTTCAGATGGGGGAAACTGAACAAAGAGGTCTCCGGCTCTACTAATCAGCGTCTCATAGGGTAGGTCCTGAGGGATCTGGGACAACAGGTGGTGGACTGAGGCCATGTCGCAGTCACAATCCAGGACTTCCTGCTCTCGATACAACACGATCTGTGGAGAGCAAAGCCTTGCATCAGGAACCAGAACATGCAAGGCCTTGGCTACGTGCATATCATTCTTAGAGATGAATTTAAACTGGTAACAGACAGGGCTCACCCCAAAAGTTTGGAAAACCATCTAGGAAGTAATAATGTACATATCTGAGTGCTTTTCCTACTGGGCTGGATGTTCCTGCTAGAGGCAAACTTCTACCTGATGATGTGAAAGACTGACCAATTAAATGAGGGAGAGATTCTTTTAGAAGGAAGAAGAGGAGGGATTACTGGAAGATTCCTGGAGCTCCAGCACAGAAAAAAATGGTTCAAAACAGTAGAAAGAATGGCCTTGCTCTCTTTAAAGAGCACTGAAGAGTGCCTGTGAGCCCACACCTTCACCTCCACCCTCAATGATTCAGGCCCTCTAATAACTGGAGCACCCCCAAACCATCTCAATTTTCTATCATAATACCACATCCCTTCCTTTCTTAAGCCCAAAGTTGGCAGTTTATATTCATTCCAAATGTCAACAAGAACACCTAATTCACAATGGCAGCTTGCATTTCAAATGTTCAGATGGATCATGCAATAAACAAATCCGTTTATTTTTGTTTAACCAGCATTTCCCAAACTTATTTTTACAGAGAACATTTTTTGTTTTGTTTTTTGTTTCCAGAATTTTTTCCATGACATTCACCATTACCGTTGCACAGAATGGTGTCCAGGCACACTAGCAGGGAAATGTTGTCTTTTGTATCTTTCCATAATCACCAGGTTTCCCTTCAGGGGAAATGATCACCCTGAAATGGGTGATAAGAACCTAGCTGCTGGCTCACAGCCTGTACCTACCACAGCTGCAAAATAAATGGGCATCAGGGGGTGGCAGGCCAGGAAGAAGTCGTATAACCGCACCACGTGCCTGAAGTCAGACAGGACGTGCCCAAACCAGGTGATGAGCCAGCTGAGGGCAAAGATGGTCCCCACCTCGGCACTAGGAGCAAGGAAATCCAGATGTTAGGTTCCCTGCTGAGTCATCCCTTCCCTTTTTCTGGGCCTTCTTTGCCCTCAGTGCTCTGAGAAGAAAGCATTTGGGAAATAGACTTTCTGGAAAATTCAGCCACCTAGAAATTCAGCATTTTCTCTTCAAAAGAAACAAAGTTCTTAAAATGTACCCACCATCATGACGTTAAGACTACAATAGGGTCCTGCTTGCCTTATTTCACTAGGTGCTTTCCTAATGGCCAATAAATGTCTATTCCAGGAATAAGAAGTACCTATTTACAGAAAACTTTACCATAATTTCTCTTCTGAGAAAGTCATACTCTTTTGGGGGGGGCACAGGCACATATTCTCAGGCTTGAAAACACAACTCTGTTAATTTTTTAGTTAACATGAGATGACTGAAACATCTTAAGACATAGCTATTACTTGGGGGGAAAAAGGCCCTGGCCACGTTGCTTAGCTGGTGAGAGTGTTGTGCTGATACACCAAAGCTGCAGGTTCGATCCCTGGTCACGGCACAAAAATGAAAGCATAAATAAGTGGAACAACAAATCAATGTTTCTCTCTTTCTCTAAAAATCAATCAATCAATAATTTTTTTTCTTAGAGTCAGGCATTGGCCAAGGACACATTTCCAACTAAACAGAAGAGAAATAAAAAACATATGATATTCACAAAGATATATTTCTTCTCCTAGGTACTTGGTGAATACCACCACACACAGACGGCCCCGCCTTTCTTACCTCTGGATCCTATAGGACTCTGAACTCTTATGGCAGTAACCTCAAAGTCTACCTTGGCATACTTAACTTGTCCACCTCCTCCCACTAGATGTAAACTCCTCAAGGGATTGGCTGTCACATCTCTTAGATCCCCAAAAGAGCAGAGCACTCAAAAAGTGCTCCAAGACTCTATATAGAACTGAATTATCCAGATCGCTGGTTAACTAGAAAGGACAACTCAGAAGAACTTAACACTAATCAATATAAGATGATGATAAGCTAGACGTGCGAGGAAGAAATAAACGCTAGAAAGTTGAAGGGGGGTGTGTGTGTGTGTATACACATAAATGTAGACACATAGATACCTACCTCTGCATGAAGTCATGGAGTTCTGGATTCACCCGGTCAATGATAGGCATCAGATAGTTTAATATATGTTTGGTGTTGTCCATTGTTCGATCCATGAAATCCCTGGAGGGAGACAGTTCTGTGAGCACGACTGGACCAAATACTGAGATCAGGGCGGGGGTGGAACGAGGCTCAAACCACTGAAAACACTGATTGGAAAATGGGCTGAGGAGTTACCCTGGGGTATGGGGAATGATACTCAGTCTCTTATGTTCCTCTGAGCTGGTACCTGAGGTGGTGGGTAGATAATTTTTCTACCAGGGATGTTGCCAGGCTCTCTCCTACCACCAGCAGAAATGTGACCACGATGTCATGGTAGCCCTGGTAGTAATGCAGCTGAGGGTTGCGCTCCAAGACGAGGAGGATGATGTCAATCAGTTCTTCTTGGAGTCCTTCCCTCTGTTCTCTTGGCATGCCTGGGGCAGGGAGGAGAGATGCACTTGAACATGGCAAGCAGCCTAGTAACACAGAGGTTAGGAAGATGGACAGCAATAGATTTTCAGAGAAAGTACTTAATAAAAGGAAATTTGCATCTTGGTAACACATAACAATCCACACACATACAGGAAATATGTGACATATAGAAAAGAGCCACCGACTAGCAACCTTACAGTGGGAGCTGAGACACCTTAACCAAGTCACAACAGTTTACATTGCTAGTAGTATGACTATCTGACAGCATGTTGCCTGGAGGTTAGGATGAACAGCTGTAGAAGTGAGGAGAGGAAAAAGAAAGGTCATGGAATGGATACTGAAGTGTGCCACATGTTGAACTCAATGAACCCTTGTCTATCTCAAAGCTCAAGGTATAGTTCTCAAACATGGTGGGGACATGACTCCCAGGGTAGGCGTCCTTGGCAAACACCTGAAGGAGTGGTGTCTTGCCGCATTCCCCATGGCCCCCACTGCCAAGATGGTGCAGCAGCAGGTCTGCCCCAACATGGTCCTGGCTACCTGCTGAGCCGCCCAGTGCAGCCCCACCTCCCGGTCTCACTGCAGACACGGGCATCCTGGCATCTCGAGGCCTGCGCCGACACCCCACACAGGGCTACAGTGCCCCCTGCTCCATCTCAGCCCCTTAAAAATTCTTGCAGCACACTGGTGTGCCATGGCAACCAATTTTTTCTTTAGCAAGTCTCCTCTCTTCATGGGCCTAAAGGTAGAGTTGCCAAAAGAAGAGAAATAGATCATAAACATGAGCCAAGTTCCTTCACTGTGAAAGTGGAAACAATGGTCATTCTTCTCATTCTTCCTGGAATGGGGAGGCAATTTTAGGAATAGCCTCTTTAAACATGCAGGAAATGGCCTCCCTTCTAGTTCAAAGAATTCAATATAATGTATATGTGCAAGATATCACTATTTATAAATCAGATCAAACAAGATATTAACAGTTCTTGGTGCCCACTTTCAAACCAATCTGCTCTTTAAAGCCAGCCTCATGGCTCTAGCAATCCCTAAGAAGTCTCTTCTGTGGCTCTGAAAGGGGGAGAAAAACCTTTCATTTACCACCTCTAGGGAAGAGAAATTACCTTTGGCTCAGGCTTTCAGTGGGGATCTGAGTGTGATGGAATAAATGAATGACTCAGCAGACTGGGGGTACATTTTAAGTCACACTGTGTGCTGGGATAGAAACTCCCTGGCACTGGCAAGCATCAACACAAGAAAGTAAGTGCAACTGGGACAGAAGCTTCCATGTAACAAGACGGAGAGAGCTTCTCACCAGGAGGAAACCGCCGTAAGGACCGCCTGACATCCAGCAGCACTTGTTGGTAGTCCTTGCTCATCTGTCGTAAGTCTTTCCCTATTGGAGGAAAAGGAACATGTCACTGTAGGAATGTCTGGGAAGCCAGGTCAGGAGCGAAACATTGTGGTTTCACACACTCCTTCATTTTCCTGACGAGAACATGACTCAAAATACAACATTTGGAGAGGAATCCAGAGTTTAGTCCCAAACATGTTGTTTCACACAAGTCTGGATGACCTAAGAGGGAAGACAGAATTGTTCAGGAGGCAGCAAAGTCAGGTGGAAAGAGCAGGAGAGCAGTAGTCAGGAGGCCAGGGAACCTCTGTGGAGTCACTGGGGTACTGCTCCGAATTTCAAAGTCCACGTCTGTAAAATGGGAATATTCCCTTCCATAATGGACCTCTCAGGTTACTGTAAGGACCAAACAAGATCATGAATGTGGAAGCCATAGGCCACTGAAAAAACTCTAACATCTGTAACATCTAGGAAGCACTGAGCTATTCAGAAAGGAGTATTAAGATAAACTCATATAAAGAAGAACCTGCCCGGCTGGGTGTGGCTCAGTGGTTGAGCATCGACCTAGGATCCAGGAGATTGCAGTTCAATTCCTAGTCTGGGCCCAGGCCCAGGTTGTGGGCTCCATCCCCAACAGGCAATGTGCAGGAGACAGCCAATCAATGACGACTCTCTCATCACTGATGTTTCTATCTCTCTTTCCCTTCCTCTCTCTGAAATCAATAAAGATATATTTTTTTAAAAAAAGAAAAAAACAGCCCGGCTGGGCGTGGCTCTGTGGTTGAGCGTTGACCTAGGATCCAGGTGATCCGGGTTCGAGTCCCGGTCAGGGCACATGCCCAGGTTGCGGGCTTGATCAATGACTCTTCTCATCACTGATGTTTCTATCTCTCCCTCTCCCTCTCCTTTCCTTTCTCTGAAATCAATAAAGATATATTTTAAAAAAAGAAAAGAAAAGAAAAGAAAAAAGAAAAAAACAGAAGAACCTAACTTCTCAACCCAGAAATTCTAAAACTAACACACTGCAAATAGGAGATAGTACTTGTGTTTAGGTGATAAGCCCAATACAGTGTGAAAGTAAGGAGGCAGTCTCTAGCTGATATATATATATATATATATATGCACCAGATCAGGAGCAAAACATGCATATATATATTTATACGTATATAAATATATACATTTATATAACAAGTGTACATTGCCTCAACCCAAACCGAGTGTTGTATAACAAGTCTACATTTCCTTCACAAAGCAAAATCAAAAGCTACCAGAGGAGCCTGTGCAAAACTTCCCCACACAGACTTCATCTTATAAAGATAGAGGAAATCTGGAATCTGATAGAAGAACACCATCTCGGGATTCAGAGTGTGAACATGGCAACGCCTTTTCCTTCCAACAAAAGCTGACTGCTCCGAGGCAGCCAGCTTCAAAGATTAAACAAGTGGCAACTTAACACCTACTCAGCTGCACTATGACACTGTGAACTTTCATTGGAGGAGGCTGTTTTAATCATCTCCAGTATCTGGCATGAAACAAGAGCACAACTAATACCTGCCAAATGAGTGAAAGAATGCCCAATAGCCAGACTTTTGCCAGACATAGCAGGAAAGCAATAAATGTTTGCTGAGCGAATGCATGACAAAGTGAGTTCACTGTTCTGTAGGACTTTCTTCTGTATTCTGCACTGTAGTCCAAGGAACTCCTTTCACTACATGGGACTTGCAGATTATTTAAGTTATAGCTTTTCACAGAATTATAGAATTTTAGACTCTAAAGTGATCACAGTATTTCCAAATAAAAATGCTTTTGTGTTTTTTAAAAGTATTATTTCTCCCCATAGCCTAATGTTTCTCAAAATGTAGTCTACCTACATCAGAATTAGGTGGAGTGCTTATTAAATTCCTACAACCCTCAGTGAATACAGACTGGAATATGCTTTTTAAAAAACATTTTTTTTTAAATAGGTCTTTATTGATTTCAGAGAGGAAGGGAGAGAGAGAGAGAGAGAGAGAAACATTAATGATGAGAGAGTCGTCATAGATCAGCTGCCTCCTGCACGCCCCCAACTGGGGATCGAGCCCACAACCCAGGCATGTGCCCTGACTGCGATCTTCTGGATCCTAGGTCGATGCTCAACCACTGAGCCATGCCAGGCTGGGCTGGAATATGCATTTTTAATAAACTCCTCCACCTAGCCAATAGAAGCTCCCTATATACCTACCTAAGCTCATTCCATTTTTGAATAAAATTCTACTTATTAGTTTGGCCTTATTTTCAGAGTTGGCCCAATCATACCCTCGAATGCTTTAGATTTACCCATCTACTCTTGGTTTGACATTAGCATAAAAATCAAAGATTCTGGAATTCTTTTTTCCTTGTCTTCTAAATAAGCTCCCCTCACAGTACTCCTCCCACCCCTTACCTGATATAGGAGGCTGGTCACTGGTGTTGACATTGAGGAGTCTGGGCCACACTTTTCGTCTGATCTCATCAGTCAGGAGCCCTCCTTCACTAATAGCCATGCGTCTAAGGGCAGGCACATCAATGGGATCACTGTTCAGAGCCTGGTATATCTCTGCCACTTTCTTTTTCTTTTTGGCGTTAAAGCCTGCAAAAACAAACAATCAAACAAACAAAACAAACAAACAAACAAAAAAACACTCAGGAGTTAGGGGGTGCATAAGGCACATATTCAGCATATATACAATTTCTGTTCAGGGCTCAATCTCTTTATTTGGTCTGAGGTACAGGTATTTAAAGCCAACCTACAGATATTTAATTAGCACATAATGTGCAAAACACTAAGGAGATATACCATGTAAGTAATCTGCAAGGAATTACAATTAAATAAATGCTCAGTAAATTCAGGCATATCTAACAGTTACTGTTAATGTTTTCCTAATAGAACACCTGTTCTTTCTTAATTCCAAGCTTCAGAGAATATATATCTCTTAATATAATATTTTTCCTGTTGTTTATAGAGGAAAGATGTATATACATGCCACCAAAATTCAATACTACATTTTTAAACAAAACCACAAAAGTTTCCAGTTACTGGTAAAACATCAGCATCACAGAAATATTTTCAAAATCAGAATATCAAAGGGCATACTTGGGTCTCCAGTGTGGGTGGTAAGGGAGGCATGATACTATACACAAAGCAACGGTTTCTTAAAAACCATATTAATTACTGTGATCAGGAAGTAATGTTGTAAGCATCTTACATCCTTATGTGATAGTTTGTTATTTATACATAGGCATTTTACTGTGTTTAAATTTCTTTTTAGGAAATTGGTTGAGAATTTGTGGCTGATGTTTATCATATTATAATTTTTCTATTTAAAATAATGGAGTAATAGGCTCTGAGAGTTCTCATGCAGAATGGCTAATTTTAGGAATGGCAAACACAAGAAAATTTAAACAAGACACCATAAAAGAGATGTCACAAAGAAATGCACTATAATTGCTAAAAAAAGGAATGTGTGGACACTAAGAGCTCAGAGAGTGTTGTGGCTCAAGCTAATCTGAGAGAACATTATTGAAGAGTACAGCTTAAAAAAAAAGGAGGGCCCTGGCCTGGTGGCTCAGATGGTTGGGGCATAGTCCCATACATTGAAAAGCCTCGGGTTAAACTCCAGGTCAGGGCACATACCCAGGTTTCGGGAACCATCCCCAGTAGGCACGTATGGGTGGCAGCCAATCGATGTTTCACTTTCACATCGATGTTTCTCTCTCTCTCTTCATCTTCCTTTCTCTCTCTCTAAAATCTATAAAAGCATGTCCTCAGGTGAGGATTAAAAATAATAATAAAGTTAACATTTAAAAAAAAATAAGGAAAAGGATTTCAAGAGGCTGGGAAGAGAGCTAGAGAGCAGAAAAAAGGCTTGGAGACAGGAAACATACAGCCCTTTTATTTTACAGTAAACAGACTCATTAAAAATATATATGTAGCATATACTAGGTGTAAGGCACTGGAGTTATGTAAGGTGGAAGATAAACACTGGAAGGCAGGTTAGGCTTCAGAGAAGACTAACACTGGAATGTAGATTAGGTTTAGAAGGGACACTAAACAGGTTTCCTCAACAATTTTCTATCCTGAGGCAACAGTCTACAAATTGTTTCCATGACAAAGCCGCACATTATTAACACAAATGCAAGTTGGTACCTAATGGTCCTGCTTACCTACCTATGAGAGCTATGACATATGAACTACCTGGTTTGGAGTCACATGCAATTGGAGGTGCAGACAGGAAAATAACACAGGTTGCTTTTCACCTAGGTAAACCTGTTATCCTGGCTAGGATGTTCTTTTCCCCAGTAACCTAGTAGAATGACCATCTCTTTCAGTTTGAGGGATCCTGGCTCATGCCTATAATTCTGGCATAGTTGTTCATAGCAAACCCCTCCTGCTCTCTGCACTTTCAAAAATGTCCCAGCTTGGATGTTAAATGGTTACTCTACCTAGAAATCATAAAAATTAAGTCCCAATTTCCTCTGTCAGCATGGCACCTAACTAGTTAACTGTTTGTTTACAAGGTGCTTCAAGCTCTTGGCTTGACTGTCCATCTGTCTGTCCATCCATCTATCCACTTGCCCATTAGTCTATCCATTCATTTATCAGTCCATCATTTAATGAACATCCACTTGTAGTAAGCACTGTACTGGGGATAAAAAGATTAATTTGATTCCCTCCCAGCACTTGAGAGGCTCACGGTAGGGAGGGAGACAAACAATTATTATATGTGATATAACTGAATCATGAAGAATTATGAAACTCTAGAGGAAAGAATGACTACTTCTCATGCAATCAGGAAAGGCTTCACCAAGAATATACCCTGGTACCTTCCTAAAGAAAACTGCACATGGAAGAGTGGTTGAAGGGAGAGTATTCCAGGGAGAGGAGTATGTGCAAAGACTTTGTCATATGAAAGAAATATCATGTCCAGAAAACACAGAGATAATTCTGTGAGGCTGAAGTGTTAGGTAAAGGAAGAGGGAAGAGGCCTGGAGGACTGCAATAAATGTAGCTTATGGAAGATGCTGGGCTGAATTTATCCTGCTGAGGTGTCTGGGATTTATCCTACACTCAAGGAAAGACAGGGAGGGATTTTACTTTGGGTTGAAGGGCCATCCTTTGGAAGAAAAGGCTGTATGTTTTCAAAGAAGGATCACAGACAAACAGGACACAGAGAAGACTTTTTATTTAACAGACAGAGACAAAATATGAGCAGGAATTGAATTAAGTTCCAACAAAGAATATAAAGTACCAGATAGCCTGTAATTTTCTTTTACTTAAGAGTTTCCTTGTACTTTCTACACATCACAACACTTAAATGGTAATATGAATACTGTTTGAGATAAACTGACATTTAGAAATCTTGTTAACCTACTTGCTAAGAATGTGGAAAATGTTCCTCCATTTGTTTAGACATATATCCACCCTGCCCCTCTTTCCAAGTAAGCTATTCAGCAATCTGGGGGAAAGGAAAATCCTTGCTCGTATCTTGAAGAAAATAACACTGCTTTGCAATCTGCTGGATTTCCATTAGGTTCTGGTAAATAATCTGCCAGAAGTTTTACTAATTTTGAACCCAAACCACAGCTCTAGTACTCAGTTCTCTTAACACACTGTTCCAATTCTATTTTTAACCCTGAATTACAAAATTTACTATCTTCTTGTTTTTGGTGCTCTGTGGGAACACAATAAATAGGTACAGACTAGAGTAAGAAGTTAGTTTAGCTACTGTTCCTTTGGAAACACTGGCCTATAATAAATCATATTATTTTGTCCATACTGCTATGCTCACTGCACAACTCTAAACAGTCATGAGCTGCTTAACAATAGGAATACATTCCGAGAAATGTGTTGTTAGGTAATTTCTTTGTTGTGCATCACAGAGTGCACTTACACAAATCTAGATGGTACAGTCCACTGTGCACCTAGGCTACATGGTATACCATCTTCGCATATGCGGTCCATCATCGACTGAAACGTCACGTGGCACATGACTGTAGAATTGTAGGTTCTTTTTTTTAAAAAAATATATCTTTTTGATTTCAGAAAGAGGAAGGGAGAGGGAGAGAGAGAGATAGAAATATCAATGATGAGAGAGAGTCATTGATTGGCTGCCTCCTGCACACCCCCTGCTGGGATCGAGCCTGCATCCGGGCATCTGCCCCTCTGGGAATCAAACTGTGATCTCCTGGATCCTAGGTCGATGCTCAACTGCTGAGCCACACCCGGCTGGGCAGATTTGTAGATTCTTTGGTCTTTTTCTAAAGCTACTGGTACTTCTCAGAGTAGGATGCTACTCAAATGTGGATTTAGCTGCTGTCTGTTCAGGCCCCAATATCACCTTCTTGAATCGCACAGTTGAGTGATTAAGTATTAATGGCAGATGAGGAAGGCACTCCTAAGTGTGCCAGCACCCCACACACAAGTATTTATTATACCTAATATATAAGCTCTCATTGTGACATAAAAAGGGAGGAGACAACAGAAAACTCAAGCGAGCTAGAGATATATAAATTACAAAGTGATAAGGTCAACTGCTAGATTACACAGTGAGGAAAAAAGGGTTAGCAGTGTCGCGATTAAAACTAATTTACACATACCCTCTTCATCTCAGAGGAAAACCATAGAGATACTCTTGGGATGCTCAGGAAAATAATTAAAATGAATGCCTACATCTACTTTAAGATAATGCTGATATTGGGCTTGGGATAAAAGCCCATATTTCTTCAGGAAGTAGCATAAACATAATCCCAATCCCCTGAATCCTTTCTTCTCCAATTTCCTTTTGCCTCACTTATAAGAGAGATGTATTACATATTCCAAAGTTGATACTTTCCAAATTCCTTCTTGGCTATCGTAACCATGACATAATGAAATGATTATCCTACAGCTGGCTGCAAAATATAAGACACTGCTATAAATAAATCCTTGATGCCTGAAAAGCAATTCACTCAACACAGGAGAAAAATGATACAGGTGCTACTTGGCCTGCTCTCCATTAAAATGATCATTTTAATAAGGGGCACTGAAGCAGTTCCTAACAGTTCAGATAAGGATGGCTGAGCCCATTATTGTTTCAAATCTTTCCCAACCCTAGCTACAGAACCCAGGTAAAGATTTCTGCCTCCTCAGAGCAACAGGTGTCTCCAAAAGCAGCTGGCTTAGGGAATTGTATATATAGGGAAAGGCAAGGACTAAAGATGAATACTAGCTATGCATCCTCTCAGTTTTTCCATACTAGCAAAATACACATTAATTAATGGCTTACATCAGGTAAAAGATCTACATACTTAATAATGGAATCTTGTGTGAGAGTACAAAATTCCATACTTATTATTTGGTTTAAGCTTGCATATCAAGAAAGCTTTGGAGTCTTTAAATAGCAGTTAAACTCAAACTAAGCAATGTTAGCTTTAATTGAAACAATGAAAGAGCCAGTGAGAGAGACAGACAGAGAGAACCCCTCAGACGGATGCTGCCCTACCCCACCCCTTGAACTCCTGATGTTAACATTGAAAATTAACTTTAAATTTTATGCTTGATCTTCATATATGTACTGGAGAAAGACAGTGGGAGAGGAAAACCTTACCTTTTTTTGAGTAAGGTTCCTACTAAAAACAAAATAAAACAATGCAGCCTCTGTTTTCAGAGGTCCTATTTAGTTTCAACAAACTGTACTAGAATTAGCAGCGATTCCTTACTTGACACATAAAGACAAGTGGGTATTAACAGACTGCTTTACCTCAACAATGCAGAAAAATATTCCAGAGTAAACCATGAACTCTACAAACTCTGATCATGAACTCTACAAAGGAGAGCTCCTGGTGTTCGTAACTTGCTCCTTCCATTCACCCAGAGAAGTGAAGTCAAGGACGCTGGGAGGTAAAGCCTCAAAACAACGACAACAGGTCACAGGGCCTGCACCACTTGGGGCATGGACTATT